CTATACAAGCTATGTCATGTACATGTAACTGGTGCTACATCTGATCAATGAACGCTTTGTATATAATTTATGTCTTGCTTTCTTAAAGGTTGCCTTCTTAAAATCACACCCCCAGCAAAGCCCTCTCTCTAGAATAAAGTCAGAGTCAAATGAGAATTCTATTTGCACGGAATTAGAAATCAATTGGCCTTGAACTAGAATGGTGTTTACAGTGTTTTATGCATATTTGTGAGTATAACAAATCTAACAAAAACAAGCACTTCCCAATTCAAAAAACAAAAACAAATGAAAGGAAACACATAAAACACATATCACCCATTTTGAATATTTGATGTGTGGTTTTACCATTGCAGACGTTTGCGTTCAGAAAGTTTATGAATGCTCCTTCCACACTGTACTCAGCACAAAATCCAAAAATAGCGCAAACGAAAAGGGAATTCAAGATTTAAGATTCAAGGCCTAGAAAGAAGTTCTTGAATCCTGTATTCAAAACTTGAATCCAGGATCGAGAGTTTGGAATCCTTGACGTATAGTGCATTGTAGTGTAATTTAGTGTCCCTAAAATCTGAGCCAAATCATTAAGAGCGCTTCTTCAAGGAAGCTTCCCCGCCATCTTGCGGGGGAATCTTCCCCGAAGAAGCGTGAGCTATCCTGCGTCCAGTAGGTAGTAGCTTCCTAGTTGCTAGTAGCTTACTTCTCCCTTAGTAAGCACCTACTTCATGAAGTACGGAGCAGGCGCCCAGCCTGCCCAGCCACCACTCTTCTGCCCCGTCCGCTTAGTAGGCACCTTAAAGCGCACAAGCTCCATGGGCGTGGCTTCATGGTTCAAGTAGGCCGAGAGCAAATGGCCCTCCTGGTCGACGCAGAGGACAGGTCCGAGGCTTCGAATCGCTTTTCGCTCCAACATAACATGGGAGGGATGGATTCGGACGGGATGGCTCCGTGTTCTTTCAATATGTTGTCTTATAATGTGCCTATCATATCCGTGTCATTGTGGTTGGCCCGCCCCTTTTTGAACAAACAGGGTGTGTTGATGTGTGATTCACTTGGACCATCTTGGACGCTAAAAGGCATGAACCTTCCGTAACCTGTCATCTTCCATTACCGGATATGACTGGCAATTGTCCACGATGACTCGGGTTGGCTCAGAGTATGGCTGTGTAGCTCCCAAATACGGGCCGACCGACTTCCTGGATGTGGCAGACCTCCGAGCCCCTGGGTTGCGAGATTTGGAGGGCCCAAGGTGCAAAGACCCCCCTGGCACCCACCCCCAAGCACCGAACCGAAACGGAGCCAGTTGGAACCCTGGAAACGCGTACGGCCCTGGTTCCAGACCGCACCGGCCATCGCTGCGAGCGCGTACCCGGATCAGACCGTAACCCGCACAACGCCTACCCGGACGCATGTCGGTGGATCTTCCCTGTTGAAACATATACAATGAGGTCCAGGAGCAGGTTTAACTTTGTACTTGGACTGGTAGGGAATGGATAATGGATGATAATGGAGTTGTATGGGCCTATACCAGGACCATCCAACAATTGTCCGATAGACTAAGTCTACACTACTTAGAGAGCTCCAGCCAGGACACCCAAGCAGGATGGTCTAGGTAAGAACCACTGTTCATTGTGGTTGGGATTTAATGTCCATCCACTCTTGCCACGCTGAATTAAACCAAAACCCAGGGCGCTCCATGTTTTTCTCTGTTCATGCCACCGGACATCCGTCAGATCCGACGCCTCCTTTGGGGTGAGGTTGCAACCCATCGCCAGCACAGCAAGGTCCTGACGGTCAGATGCTCGGCTAAAGAACCGACTTCGTCCGAGGCGGAGCATCGAAGGAACAGGTCCACCCGACCGTCCGACCATCCGTGTCTGGAAGATGGTTGTGGTGAGGCGTGAAGCAACACGCCGATGACGGTGGACGAATCGGGGAGAGAGGTCGGATGGAATATTGGATCATATATCTATACCTGGACCGGGTGCCCTGTCTGGAAGCCTATAGGTAGTGTGGGGTAGTTCATTGGACACCCCTTGGAGGGTGCTGGTAGTAGCTTCTAGCTACCTAGCGAGGGCCTCCAACCTACTAAGAAGGGCCTCCAACCAATTATATATAGAACAATCCTGTCCGCTGCTCAACATGAGCTGTGGCTTGGACGGATTCGCAAGTCGCGCTATAGGACAAATCCTAAATGGAACATGATTTCAATTGTGCAAAGATCTCATAAATCACCTTTCCACGCAGGCAAAAGAATCCTATAGAGCATCTCCATTTTGCTTCCAGGTTTGGTCCAACCAAACGCCGGTTTTGGGCGCACGGTTCTTAGTCAGTTCAGAAAGTTCATGTGGAATTCAGCAGCCAAAAGCTCGAACAAAAAATCACAAAAGCATGCCAAAGCGCATGCGAAAGCTATGCCATCATCGGAAGTGGCTGAACATCGGAGACAACCACCTTATTTGTTTGCGCTTCAGAATCGAAGCAAAGAGCGCATGTGTCCCCAGTTGCCAGTCACCACTTGTGTAAAGGATAAAGGATCTCCGTCATGCCACATGTTTGAAGGATGGCAATTCCGATGTTGGAAGGACGTGTGATTTGCCACAAATCTGACGATGTCCTCATCATGGGGCCTGGCCCGGATAGATATGGTTGTGTCTTGGCTCGTGGGTGTTGATAAATCTGAGCCAAACCTGTACACCATGGTGGGCATTCTTAATCCAGAATGTGTGTTCAACCATGAAGTAATGGAAAAAAACATCATGAATTGACATCACCCTTTGTTAATTGGTGTGATACTTTTCACTTCGCTTTTATGTTTTCCATATTTGGCAGCGCTGCGATGGAGGTCTTCACCAACAGTGGGGACTCACACCGCGAGATCAAAGAAAAACACCCTAGCTCAGGGTCACACGGAGAGATCCCAAGCCAAGCTCGCTGGGTCACTCCATGTCAGACTCGTGTTGGGCGCTCCGTTCTCCACGTCCCCCGCGTTCGTTGCTTCCGAGGGCGGTGACCGGTTCATTCCCCCCGCGGGTCTCCCCAAAGGCGGCGCGCGGAGAGAACGCGCGCGTTGGCGCGCGCGCCACGCGCGCCACGCAGGTCCATCAAAGGCTGGCCCGGAGCCGCGTATTCGAAGTCCACCAAGAAGATGGTACCATCTGACCTACGCAATCGACGACCGGCCCGGGAGATGAGCGGCCCTGGAGATGCTTCCCCCCGGAGATGGATACGTCAAGGCGTTGAAGGCGCATGAAGCATGAAGCCTCCTGTGTTTTTCATTCAGTACATGTGTGTCAAGGAATTGGGCACCTACTAGGTTGGAGCTTCTAGGTTGGAGGCCATCGCTAGTAGGTTGGAGGAGGTTGGAGGCCATTGCTTCTAGGTTGGAGGCCATCGCTAGTAGGTTGGAGGCCATTGCTAGTAGGTTGGAGTTGGAGCCATTGCTTCTAGCTTGGAGGCCATCGCTAATTTCTTCTAGGTTGGCGGCCATCGCTAGTAGAGGCCGTTGCTTCCAGGTTGGAGGCCATCGCTAGTAGGTTGGAGGAGGTTGGAGGCCATTGCTAGTAGGTCGGAGGCCATCGCTTCTAGGTTGGAGCTCTGTCGGTCGACCGTGTCCCTAGAACTTGTTCATGGCTTTCACCTCCGAGGTGCATGTTTAGGCAACAAGAAATGTGGCTCGATAGATACCCAGACATACCCAGATACTCCATGGGACTATCATAATCTACTACTTTTTACCTACATCGCCGTGGTTGGGGAGGTCAATGTGGGCGGCCATCTTATGGCAGTCCCATGACAGGTCGTGTCAAGCAGTTCGGGCAGTGGATCGTCCTAGAGGGGATGATCCATGACGACGGGGGATGATCCATGGCAATCCCAGGAACGCGGGCAGGCGGGTGCGACTTGATGCGCATCAGCGGATGCTTCCAAAGGCAGCTTTGCATCTGGACTGGGATCCCAGGAGTGAAGTGAAGTGCAGTCATTGAACGTGGGGAAAGTCACCAGCACCACCCAGCTCGGGTGGCTGGACTAGACCCCCCTGACTATCTATTGAACCATATTGAACCTATCTAATAACCACCCAAACAGGGTGGTGCTGGTATGTCAGTCCCACGGATGGTCTAAAGAACATCGGACGCACCCACGGACGTCGTAAACGAATGGAATGAACGACGAGCACGGAGCACGGAGCACTTCCCTTGCTCGGAAGCTCAGACCGGTCGGCTCAACCAGCGACGGGGTGATGTCTGCAGCTTCGCAGTTCTGAGAGCAAGTTCTGCATGTTCCATCATGTTCCCAAGTTCTTCCCAAGTTCTTCGTTTGGGCTGGTGGAAGTTGGATCCGTTTGGATGAATTGTTGATATCCTTTGATGAGAGTCTGGACAGGCAGCTAAAGATCGAGCCCCCCCTATGTCTTGTTGGGCGCAATCAACAGGCCACAAGACGGCAGCTCGCATGCTGGGAAATCTTCGGTTGCAGGAATGTGCTTCTCGGGGTATGCACAGTCGAACATCCCAGCCCTACACAAACTGGACACCTTGAACAAGGTCAACAAACCCATTTACCAGCATTTCTCCAACAGGTCAACAATTGAGACCTTTCATTCGGACCCTTTTAGAACCGTCCAACGACCGATGCGAACGACCCACGCGGCGATGTGGGAAGACCTCCTCCAACGACCGACGCTCCCCATCCAGCGACACGATCTGAGCCTCAAAACCAAGTTATCGGCCAGCAGATCAAAATGGCAGAACCGGTTGGGCTCCAGGCTTCCTGGCGACTGGCGGTTTCGAAGCGAGCTGGTGACCTTCCAGTATAGATTGAACCAGGCCTCCCCAAATCTGGAGAAATATGTCGTTACATGTCATTACTTTGCATTTTTGCCCATGTTTTTGAAGCTGAACACGCTCTCCGGCTGAAGCATCCAGGGTGATCTGGACTACCCACACCACAGATAATGTAGACTCTTGATGAACAACACCCCCCATGTGAAGAGGACTTCCAATTCAACTGGGGGGTTTTGTTCATCAAGAGTCTACATTAGGCTGACAGTGCACCCCGTCTACGGATGGTCGGTCCGACGTGCTCTCCTCGTTCTCATCCTTTCTGCTGTCCGACACGCGACGTGATGCTCAGTCACCTGTCCTGCAACGCTCTCCAATTCCGCAATGAGATCTCGCAATCCCGGCAGCAGCGGCAACCGTGAGTAGTTTTGCTCCTGCAGAATGCTTTCTGCATGGTGGGAAAGATGCGAGCGGAGAGTTTATAGGAACATGCATACGAACCATGCAACAGTTTGCATGTGGAGTCGACCCGGAACTCGTGCCTCGGGTTCAATGACTACGACGTCGTAGCTGTTTCTTTGATGGGGTACCGTCATGTTATTATGTCATGTCCCATTTTCGGTACTGGGTCAGTCGGGTCCTCGGAACGATCATGATTGCATGGGGCGCTGCTGGCGCGGTTCCGGGATAGCTGCTAGCTGGCTTTCGGGTGCCATGGGTGCCGATCGATCCATTCCGTTGCTTCGTGGCAGCATCGTGAACATGTTGCTTGGCACTCACATGAAAAGACCACCAGCAGCATCGCCAGCATCAACCGGGAACTGCGCTACTAGCCGCTGTTGGGCATCTGGGGCATCTACCTGGCGAAAGGGTGTTCATGCAGAGACGTTCAAGGAGATTCAGCAAATCTCCAGAATTAAAGGCAAGAAATCACCACCTCACCTGTTTCAGTGGGGTTTCTCACCATTCCCTAGGTTTTGAGGGACCAGTCGGGCTGTGAACGGACCGCCTGGGTATCCCACCCCAAAATGGACAGTGAATCCCTGACCCCGTCTGATGTCTCGTCTCGTCGTTCCTCGGCATAGTGGAGCCATTGCGCTAAATGGGGCCCACCCCACCCGACGGTGGACCCGCCCACCGCCGTCAAGAAGGCCTCGAGCAGGGGCGAGCGGCTTCAGAACGCGGCAGCCGGAGAGGGCCGAGCTGGGAGGCTGAGGTAGAAAAGCAATCCCCTGAGTTAGGAAGAGAAGAGATGGGGATTTAAAAATCAGAGATGGTGATTTAAAAGCAATCCACCTCAGGGATTTGTTCTCACTTTCAATGAATTTCTCCCTTTTTCGGGATTCTGAAAGTGAGAAATCAACTTCACCGTCCATTCACCGTATATTTCTTTTACTTATGAGCTTCCAAGAATACATCGCTTGCTCATCTTGGTTCTTCATTGATGGCTTCCTAAGTTTCCGCAGCTGTTCCAGATCTCTTTTTCATCCCAAATCCACTCATCGTTCAGGGGGTCCTTCCCAAGCATTCCAGGTTCTCCAGCTGCCATCCAGCATGGGTGTCCAGCGGTTCATCGGCTGCAGGAAGTGTCCGACACTTTCTCCGCCCCGGCGCTCCGTGAGCTTCTCACAGTTCTACTTCCTGGTCCCTCCAAAACCCCTGTCGGGGATTGGTGAGACACAGGGCTCCCAAGTCCACCGAGCCGAACGGGTCCAAAGGGCCCCTTCAACCCTCAAGCCGCCCGCCGGCGTTGGGCGGCCTGGGTCGAACATCGGGATGATGAAGGGGGTTCCCCCGCGAAGCGGGGCCCTCACTCAACCCCCCTAAAAAAAGAAATGACCTGAAGCTACCTGGAGTCGACCCGTTCGTACCTCGGGTTCAATGGCTACGACGTCGTACCTGTTTTTGATGGGGTCAGATGTCCCATGTTTTAAGGTACTGGGTCAGTCGGGTCCAGGTATACACCCCAACCAAAACTCCTCCGGAACTTCCTCCCGCCGCCTCCAACTCCTCTGGCACAGGGGTCTCGTGCATCCGGCGCAGTGCCAGACCCAAGGCCTTCAGCAGTGATCCGTCGGTGCCGTCACAGGCTGCATGGAGGTCCTCTTCGGTGAGAGCCCGCGACTCGTCCACAAAGTCGACCTCAGTAGCTCCACTCAGGCGCCGGTGGGGCGCGGTGGGTCGGGCTCCGGGCCCAGTCATCTTCCGCACCGAAGCCCCCCAGTCATCATACCACGTGGGCTTATGACCTGAGTTCTTTTCAGGTCGACAACAGCCAAGTCGCACCAAAACCGTCAGGAGCAGTGGGAGAGCAGACAAACAAGTACACTCCCTGGAGCAAACAAAAGCACATCATGGAAGTGGAAAATGGCCCCGAAAACCATTTTCCTCTACAAACAGGTGGTTTTCCATGTCCATCATGATTGTTTCAGGGAGAGTACCAAAAAGGAACTCACGACCACGTTCGTCTTGTTCACCACTCTCTCCCGAAGATTCAAGCTTGCTTTACCAAATACTCTCTCTCTCTCTCTCTCCCTGGTTGGAAGCATACAGTACATGCAGGGCTTTGAAAACCTCAACTTTGGTGTATCCGAAATGTGGTCATGACCAGCCAAGAATACCGCAAGGCTTCCTGACTTCCTGGCTCCCCGGTGCTGTGACATGGTGGGACCCAAGCGGCCAAGCATGCGAAGCAACACTGACATCGATCAGAAGACGTCCCCACCCCCACCCCCACCTCACTTCAACGTCTTCGTTCAACGTTCGACAAAACATCCCGTTCCTCTTCCTAAGCACAAAACTCGCAGGTGTGTTTCCATCTCCCTAGTGCCCTGATGGCAAAGTTTGAAGTATCCAGGGCCAAAATCATCCCAAAAACATGCCTGGTACTGTTGCAAAAATATCAAGAACGTGCGCATGGTGCCATACCCAAACACTCCATGTATGCATGGAATACAAACCTACATTGCTACATTGACCAATAAAGCCAAATGTTTTGTGGAAAATATATATATCATACATGGAGGGTCTGGGATGGATTTAAATTGATTTATAGTCGTCCCCAAACTGATCGTGGCACGGTTTCCGAGACATGTTTCTTAGGGCATCTACTTTGCTATCTACGTAGGAGGATCAACATTCACGTTTTACCGGTCTCTCCTCGCCCAAGAAACGACCATCACGTCCGCCTCCGCATGCCTCGAGGATCCGACCCCAAAAAGGGGAGGGATCGGACTGGACACCTATCCCCCTATCGGCGTCCGTATCGACCTTCGGTTCGGTGGGACTGGGCTGGGTGCCACTCCACTCCACTCCACGGATCCACGATCGCGACGAGCGGCGCGCGACGCGACGATCGGAAAAGGTCAAGAGGGTGTTGAAGACAGAAGCCCGTACCGATAGGAGGGTGCCAGTGGATCCATAGGGTATATATTGTATACATTATACGTATGCAGTACCGTATGTAGTATGTATAGTTCAAAAGGCTCTTAAAATAGAGGCCGTCACCCAAGGACCCTCAGATCTGAGGTCGTTGCGAAATGACCTCAAGATAGGGCATACACAGCAATGCAAACCCACCATGCCTTTTCTTTTTCTGCACTATCACTTCGAACGTAGTGCACTGGTATGACGCATACGGGCCATGGCACCCTTGTGAGTAGCCGACAGACCCATCCTGAGACGGCTGGCCTTCATTAAAAACAGTTCCAGGTTCTTTGCTGGGTATCGTTTGCAGAGAAGTTTGCTCCATTTCATGGAGTCTTCATCAACGAAACAATGAGTGTGCCTGCTGTTGACCCGGGTATGCAATGTCACTTGAAATTGGTGATCGAGTTGGTGGATTTTGGGCCTTAAAGTCCATAACATTGGAGTAGTGCGTTGCCCTCTCTCCAGCAATGTCTTTTGCTGCCTCATACAGGGTCTCTAAGATGCTGAACAATATTGAAAACCTGAACAGACTTGATTTGTTGAATTTGAACCCTGGCCTAAAGTGAATGTAGGACAACCTGATGTGAGCTTGCAGAAAAGATTGGCCGGCTTCGAAAATGTTGCAAGCTGCTTCCCTGGTCCTGGAACATAGTTTCTCTGCCCGAACGAACATCAGACGAAAAAGCTAGCTAGCAAATCATAGAAAACAAACAATGCCCCTTCGTGACCAAGGTTCAGGTAACGACCGTTGCTTTCGCAGAGTGCAAACCATCGTGCACACGCGTTCCTCACTGCAGTTGCTTTGGGACAGAAACCTAGGACCTAGTGCTGGCTCAGAGTATTTAAATTGGAAATCAGAGCAGAAACCAGTTGTTGTTGCAGAACAGGGGCATGCATGCTGCTTGCAACTCAATCTTTGCATCTGCAGGAAAGCCTTGCACACCAGTGCGCATTTGCTCTTTCAGCCAAACCCCAAGGGTGCGACCAGGAGGAACGTCCAAGTTCTTCTCTGCCACTTGAGTGGATACTTCAGCCATGTAGGCACAGAACACACGACCAGTATGTGCTTTATGCGTGAAACAAACGTTGCCGTTCTGTTTGAGGACCTGAGTCTCACCCACGGACGGTGCTACTTTGCATGCTTTTTGTTTTAAAAAGAAACATGGTAATCATCGAACACAAAAATAGGCCCACCAACAGTGCCAAGTATCCATCCCAACGGTGATGCATTTCTGGCTGCACTTAACCTTCTTCATCTTGCACCATTTTTTGAAATCGGAAAACAACCGTTTCAGGTTCAACTCTAGTGGCTCCTTTGGGTCACCGTACATCCCAAGCCAAATAAGGGTCATCCTTGGCATGCTAAGACAGGCAACAAAACAAACACGAACCTGTGTTCCCTCCTAGTCTAGTGCCCAGAAATTTGAACTAACCAAGTTTGGGTTTCCCAGACAAAAAGCTATTTGGGTAAATTTGTGCAAGCGTCATAGAGCTGCCATTTGCTGTCTGCAACACCCCAAGGTTGCAATTATGCATGGAACATGGCCGAAGTGTGTCCACTGCTATTCCTGGTAGTGCAAGCAAAGGACCTAACTTGCAAAGATCAGGGAGGAAGTTTGCTTTTTCTCTTGGGGTTGGTTATTGAAAAATAACAAGAACTGACTAAATTTGTTCGGCAAGATGCAAATCTGTTCAGGTAAAACGTTGTCGGCCCAATCCCAAATGTTCTGAAATGTAGTGCTTGCCCAAGCTGCTTGCTCCCCAATCTCTGTGTAAAGGTTAGGTTGGGGTGGCTTCAACTGTGCTTGACAATAAAAGCAAACATCTGCACTCTGCCATCCTCTCTGAGGAAATCTCCAGAGAAACTTGTGCCACACAAGGTCTCCACGAATTTCAGTAACTAAGAATTTTTTTCCATCTGTGCACAGCTGTGTCCCGTCAGGATTTTGCCCTAAAAAGGCATAGTGGAAACTCCGCACCAAATTCCACAAAAGCGGATAGACCGTATGCGTGCCAAACACCAGTTCAGATCTTATCGCAAAGATCAGAAATCGAGACCTTCGGACCGATGCCGGCCTAAATAATGGAAAATTGATGAATATGCTCATGATCTTCTTCTGGGGTGGTCCTTCGTCATACTTTGCTTCGTCTCCGAAAATCCCGACTGGTATAGTCGAAGCATCACCTAGCCGTGCATATTGGCATCCAAAGCGCTTTGACCATTCCCAATAGTGCTCAATGTGGGATTGGGGCGTCGTTGCTTCAGCCACTTCATACATGTATTGAAGCACTCGATGTGGTTCCAAATACGGGATCTTCATACTAGTGATCTTTGTGTCATCATCGGGGTCGACAACAGGAAGATCTATAAAAGATGGCTCCTAGAAAATTGACAAGTCAATTTTGATAACTGTTGCCTTGCCCCTATTGTAAGAAAAACACATCAAATATTGCACACAAACAGTTCTTGCACTTCAATTTCAAGCTTCCAGAGGCAACTTCTGGTTCTTCCAGAAGGTCCGAACTTTGTTGGATTTGCTTTTCCCTATCTTCACGACTGTCTCAGAAGCACCGGGCTCCTACGCAACACACTGACATGTAAGACGGGCTTCATGCATTCATGCTATAAAATGTGTCCTCTAGTGTGTGCTCTTGAAAGTCATCGTGTACTTGTGATATGTTTCATGCCATTGCATACACTGAAGATCTCCTTTGCTCTGGCTGCAGCTGATCGTGCAACTGAGCTGATGCTGTGGCCCTGAGGGACTAGTGACGGCTGTAATCTAAGAGCCTTTTGAACCACTGCGTGAAGAGCCTTTTGAACCACTGGGTGAACTAACCATGCATGGCGCCGTGCCTGCTCAGCAACTCTTTGACCAAGGTCGGCGTCAGGGTTCTCAACGCCGCTGTCGGTGTCAGATTCTGCGAGGGTCCAGGATTACATGACACGTAGCAAGCCCATCTTGTGTAGCATAATAGAAATGCTCCTCATCGTGTATGATATGCACATTCTCACAAAGCACGTTCCAACAAGAAAAGTGCACGTTTCTTCCCCGCTTGTTTTCGACACTGCCTCCAGCCATGAGATTTGTTGGCTGGCTGACAGTGGTCTCCCAGCTGCAAGATTTAGTCACGGACACTGGCGCTACCATGCCAACCCCCCATCAAATCAGAATTGTGATTCACATCATTCATAAAACACACATGCATGCCTCATGTGTGGGAGGAAGGCACCTAAGGGAGCACCGGCTTTTCTCGACGTGATCCCAAAAACTCAAGAGCAACATCGGCTTTGAGTGAACATTGATTGATCAAGCTTTCTTTGGGCAAGCTTGCATGTCAAAGTCACGGACGCCGGCCCTACCATGCCTGCCTACCCCCGATCAATTCAATTTGGTGTTTGATTCAAGATCATCGATGCAGGGCTAGTTTGTTACACATTTGTGCGGCAGGAAGGCACTTAAGCAGGAAGCTCCCATGGTCCCAAAAGCTAAAATAAGACCCGAACGTTCCTACGACATCGAGCAATCAAGCTTTCTTTTTGGCAAGCTTGGATGTCGAATCATAAGATTTGCAAAGATCCTCCAGTTTATCCTTGTAGGTCTTCACGTCGTCCACCTGGCCAGATGCATGAGGGCAAGGGGATTTCAGCTAGAGTCAGCTAGAGCTCTTTACTCTCAAAGTGGCCCGCGTGATGGAAAACCAAGCTTAGTTACATGATCTTGCTGAATTGATCAAACTGAATCGGGTGGTGTTCAGTCTCTATCAAACGCGTTGTATGACATGCCTTGTCAGCATCCAAGGCTTTCTGCAAGATCTCGCGGGTGTCCTGGATGGATTTCACAGCTGCCTGCAAGAGGTGCGATAGTTGTCGGCATTTGTATTTTGAATCTTTGTTTGGCCTTGATGTCTTTGGTCATTGCATCACGAACTGTTGGGGTCCTGAAAAAAGTGAACGTATTCAGACGAGATACATGCATAGTGTTAGTGGGCAAAGATTGATTGAACCAAAATCGCTCAATCTGGTATATTCCTACTGCGATGAGCCCTGGGCAGATGTTGGATATTTGCCAGGCAAGTCTGGGAATTCTTCACCTTTCGGCTCGCTGCATCAATGGCCTGATGAGGGCAAGAAGGCGTGGGAATGTGGGGCCCAAGGACTTGATGAACCTTTCTGAAAGACTTGATGCACATGTAATAAAGGACCTGACAGTGAACACCCTGTAAGAAGAGCCATGCCTTTTTCGCATCTTTGCAAAGGTTCTTTTTTGCTTCCTTTGCCTGAGCTGCTTTCTCCTCCTCCTCCGCCCTCTTCGCGTCCTTCTCATCCTTTCTTCCGGACTTCTTCTCCTTATCCTTCTTCTTTGCTTTGCCACTCTTGGGCTTCTTCTCCTTTTTCTTTCCTTTCTTGCTTTTCTTGCCAGTCTTCTTTTGATCCTTCTTTGACTTGGCTGCCTCTTTCTTCTCCTTCTTGCCCTCGTTCTTGCCCTCGTTCTTTACCTCATCGCCCTTTGCAGAGTCAGAACTTGACCCTTCAGAATCTGATGCAGTGGCACCAGACTCATCAGAATCGTCATCTTCAATTGCTTGGTACAACTGCTGCACTACTTCTTCATGTTCTTCCACTTCAACCTCCGAGTCAAACGCCAGGTATTGCTTCAAGGCCTGCCAGAAGTGCTGCACGTTTGGCTCGTGTTTTTTTTGGCGTGCATGTTAATGAAGAATTTCTGAACAACAAAAGTTCATGCATCAGTGCATGAATGCTCCTC